TTGAGATTTCCCAGCTGGAAAAAAAAAAACAAAAGCTTTGATGGTTTACAGTGAAAATCTCAACATTTTAAGGCATTTTTTTTTTGTCAAATTTGGGTTTTTGGTTGCTAATGCTCAAAAAAGTGGTTCAAAAAAAATTAGGATAATATTTCAGACAGTTCATTGAAATGATATATTGAGAACACATTTATTTGTTATATTTTTGACAAAATGTAATTTTTGCAAGCATTTTAATCAAAAAACTATATCTGCCTATTTATCCACATACAATTACTGTACCTAATTGACAAAGATCAGTTTGATTGATCAGTTTTATTTGAATATTTATCAATTTCTTAAAAGCAGATTGGTATTTCTAAGGTAAAAAAAACAAAACCCTGATATAAAATCTGCTCTAAAACACAGGAAACTACATACTTGGGGAACCAGATGAGCCCCAGATGCTCAGTTTTGGAGTAGAAGACTCTCTCGTACAAATTATAAAGTGGCCGCCACGGCAACTGTAGGTCATCTCTTGACAGGAGCTCTTTCTTCCTGTTTGGGAGAGGGGAGAAAAAAAAGCTCTCATTTGCTTTGCAAAAGGCAAGTGTTAACATTTTAGACAGCCCTTTAGCTACTTAAAGACGTGAAACAACAACAACCAAAACGCCTGTTGGTGAAAATCTCACGTTGAGATGAGAGACCTGCTGGGCGTCTGAAAGCCATCATGGGTAAATTAGTCATCCCCTCGCAAGCTGCTCTCAACGCGATGGCTGCCAACTCGCAGACGTGTCCGCAAACACAATGCAGGGATTCTTTAGAGTTATTAAAGCAGAACTGGACAAACAGCTGCAGGCATTAGCAATTTGCATGAGTGTAGTCTCAGCTGGGTTCAAAAATATTCACAATCCAAGCCGCCTGTTAGTGGTTCCACAGAGGAAAAATGTAAAAAAAAAATTTTTGAATAAAAATAACAACGAATCATGTTTAGGATCAACAGAACTGGCTGCTCTGTGAAGTAACATTATCCCTTTTTAGTGTTTTTAGTTCTTCTAACACCGACTTAAGCTTTTAGATTTCACACAACATGATGAGTTCTGTACAGGCTTTAAAATAGAGTGGGTTTTTAAGCCCCATGAGAACTCCCATGCTTTCTTTTGTAGCACATTATAGTGTTTTTTTGGTTTTTTTTTTGTAAAATCACCATTTTTATGGGATTAAATCTCAAAAGAAAGGCAGACAATTCCTGCACTGGAGAATATGCACGATTTTTTACAAGCACAAATTCCTCTTGTCAGCTCTCTCTTGTTCATGTAGCAGTGATGGAACAGACTCTCATYAGGGAGGGTTTAAGAAATGAAGGGGAGATGAGATGATCTGGAAAATGGCTGTGAAATATGAGGGTTGATACGAGGAGACTATTGAGACCTGATGTTTGATGTTTGGGGTATCAAATTCGGCGCTCGGCTGTGAAACTGGGCACTTGATAAACTGTTCGCCCAGATCTTTCTCTTTTCATCCGACGCGAACCCCTCACATGGCTGACATCTGCATAAAGATGCTGCTTTGTGACGGATGTGGAAATCTGCGAAACAACTGAAGACAAATGGGAAGTGATGAATGCGCCGATCGTTGGGAGCTCTCATGGGGAGCAGATCTGATCGGAGAGACAAAAGCACGGAGCTGGGGCCTAAAATGTGATAAATGTACTGTAGAGCCAAGATTCTTTACTTCTTTTAACACGCTGTGAGTGTGTTTCTGTAGAGTCATGCAGCACGTCACCAGGGATATTTTACTTTCTGACAGTAACTTTATTAAAATGTCAATTTGAGCTGTGCTGATTTAAGTTTCCTGTGTTATAACCCAAAGAAACCAAAAGCCWGGTGATTAATCTTTTAATGAGCCATGGGATTTGTTTTGTGACCCACAGGAGAGGGGCTGACTGTGAAGTGAACTACTTTACTGTATAAAGACAGGGCAGATAACTTTTATTCTCTTAAGATCACCTTGATTTAGTTATGGAAATTGAAGTGTCCACTGTAAAAACTCTACTATTTTTGAATCACTTGATCTGTTTAATTTGTAATTTATCAAAAATTCCAAGTTCATTTTTTCTTAAAACCACATTTTGTGTTGAAAGTGTTTTCTTTGTTGTTTTTTAATGACTACTTTACAGCATTGTTAGCAGACTTTGTCAAAACCCTGTGATGCTTTTCTTGGGACTGAAAGCAACTCTTGAATTGAAACCTGTAAGGAAAAAAAGGCCGTTTGGTTTAATAAAAGTGTTCTTTAAACTTTTATCTTAGTCTAATGCCTGTAAAACCTCTGATTTTAGTTACTCAGCAAATATTAGGCCTATTTTAGTTCAAAACATAGACCATGGTTTTTCAAAGTGGGGGCCCTGGGCCCCTGGGGGGCCACCAGTTGGTCACTATTGGGTCCTCAGAAAACTGCAGGGAAGATATGAAAAAAAGCAAAACTAAAAAAATAAATCTAAAAATGTTTTAAATCATTATTTCAAAATATATTTTATAATAATATATTGAAAGGGACTTAAGAGAAGCTTAATTTATTTTATTCTGTTCTTTTTATCAACAGTTTGTGAAAAGTTGTTTTTTTTTCAGTGAGAACATAATAATATCATGTTAGTTAAAATTCTTATGCTTAACAAAGATAAAAGATTATGTTTCTTTACATATTTTGTAGCATTTTTTGTGGGTTTGCAAGGGGGGATCCCCAGACAGAAACTAATGCTGTTTTTTTTTTTTTTTTTTTTTTTTTTTTTTTTTTTTTTGTTTTGGGGGGGGGTGTCCATGGCATGGAAAAGTTTGGGAACCCCTGACATAGGCAACACATTTTGTTAGAAACAAGTAAAAAGGCACCATCAATACATTTTGCTCCTATCTGATATACTGTATAAAATAGATACAGGTTGGCCTAGACCAGCTACAAAAGTTGCTGGAAAAGTGACGAGTCAGCAGCTAGGGCTGTAAGAAAATATCAATACRCTGAAATATCGTAATATTTCATTTACTGATGTATCGGTTTTTAATTGAGTGGATTTAACGGATGGATGTTGTAAGTAGAAATGTGAAACCCAAATTCAGTTCTCACTGTTCTTCTGTTTAAACTAAATTTAATCCGATTTTATGCATGGCGCTCTTTATACTGAGTTTTTAAAATATTTTGGAGAAATAAAACGTCAATAAATCACCTTTATTACCATATCGCAATATATCACGATGTATCATATTGTGACACCAAATTCAACACACAGCCATATCAGCAACCCAATATCTTGAGACACCAAGAGAAAAATCTGATCATAAACTACGGGGATATTTTAAGTTTTAAAATGAGTGTTAGCTCATCAGTAAAAGGCATAAAAGCAATAGTTAATAATTAATTTAAAAAATAGTATTATGGTTGTTGGCAGTATGAATGTTGCCTCTGTGTTTTGGTTCAGCTGGCATATTAACAACCAGTGATAGTCAAGGTCACAAGTTTCTATCTGAATACCATCTCTGAATGCTTTCTGAAGTGTTTACAGCTTTGTTTCTTCCTTCAGTGAGCCACAACCTACAAATGACTTTCCTCTGAATGGCAGAGAGCAAGTAAGAAATCCACTTTAACCCGTCGTGTCATGTGATTTTAACTCTCTGATCTCATTACACCAACAGGAAGGCTAAAAGTACGGCTCGTCCCGAAGAGTTCAACTTTCTACGGTCAAATGAGCTGATGTTATGTCATGTTTTAGCACAGGCWCAAACGTTCTGCTGGACTCCAGTGTCATCTCTTCAGGCATTCTCAAATGACGTGCAATCCTTTGAATGGCATGCACCAACTCGATGTGTGTGTGCGTGTGTGTGTTTTGGCGGCACACCTACTTGAGAAGCTGAATGAGCAGCCTGGCGTAGCACTGCATCATGTGGGGCTCCAGGTTGGGCAGTGTGACCAACTCATAGAGGAGCTGGATGAAGAGAATGTGGTCCCCTTTGCTGAACCTTCGTCCGTACAACTTCAGAAAACTGAGGGCGAGAGAGAAACACTCGGTTCATCTTTGTTGCGTCTTACCAACGTTCCCCACACAGTCAGGACACAATAGTTGTAAAGTTGCAAAGTAAAATACTTTAAGTAGAAATTGTGATTGAGTAATTATTTTTCAGCCATCTTTTTAGTTTTACTCCTTACATTTTCACACAATTATCTGTCCCTTCTGC